TCACAACATCATGCACAACAAAGGGTACGTGTCAACCCTGCATACAGGGTCTAGTTTACTAATGATTTCACAACATCATGCACAACAAAGGGTACGTGTCAACCCTGCATACAGGGTCTAGTTTACTAATGATTTCACAACATCATGCACAACAAAGGGTACGTGTCAACCCTGCATACAGGGTCTAGTTATAATTGTCGTCATCATCATCATCATCACTATCATTATTACCTGACTCTTGAAATCGTCTGGCTTAGTTGTCTCAAGAATTTCTTGAAATTCCTCCAAAAAGGCATCAATTCTGTTTTGAACGTGGTCCACACTATCGAACAAACGATATCATGAACAAAGGTATAGCGCTAGCCTCGCTGACTAATCCGGCAAACTTCCACGACAACTCTATGATATTGGGAATCACTTAATTTGAATCAACGGTAACGCATCAATTAAAAACGTTGCGATGTCTTTAAAATAGTCCGCTTGTTTTGTGTCAGAGACTGCGCAAATACTTGCATTCTCGTTATGAAAACAAAAAACTGGGATTTGGGATTGTTTTTATGGACATTAGAATCTATGAGCAAATCTCCCACCAAGCTTTGTAATATAAAATGGCGTCGCCTCACATCTACTGCGTAACCACTCGTCCATATTGTTTGGTTATTTTATATATCTCAAGTTGGGGTAAAGGATTATTGTAATAAAGGCCGCGATGTTTATTGATCGTTTTCACCCATTCCTGTGACATTCAAAAGATAGAAGACCGGCGGCCATGTTGGAGGAATGAACAATAGATTAATACCAATGAAAAATCCTTTTTTGAAGTTCCTCCAAGATGACCGCCGTGACGTAACTTGAAAACGAACAATTCAGTTACCTGAACTTGTCGGCCTGAGTTTGGACGGTAACAGAGAAGCCAACAATACCAAAAGTATTTCGACAAGTACAACTTACAGAATACCTAAAGTACACAAGGAAAAAATAGCAATCTTTGCATGTGAGGAAGGTCAATTATTCTTTTATTAGCACCCATGTACATGATATAAAAAACATCTTTTAATGGTGAGATTTCGCGTTCAGATTGGCTAAATAAAGCTGATCGAAACTTAGCCCCAAAGTCAAAAAAATCGAATGAGCTTTAAAACTTTCAGGTCGCGATAGAAGCGTTTCCTGTAACACACTTACTCACAAGGAAACCCCCACGTTTTCTCAAGGAGGTCAACACAAACAACGCATATGAAGACGTCTATTATAGAACCTACAATCGTTGCCAAAATACCTTGGATCGTACAATTGTTTGTCTCCAGCCTAACATTTTTCTCCTTTATTTTTTCACAGTTTTCCCCCTTAGCCCCCTTTCATCAATGTTGGGTCTTGTTTTGGATGCTTGTGTACTATGGTAACATGATCAATGACAACATTGCATTTAGGGGGTCAGGGGGGATGAAATTGTCTGCGGGTGTTGCTTAAAATGAGGAAATTCGCTGGAATGGTCCAAGGTTTTTGTCAACGATTGT